CTTCCTCTTCTGCCCGCTGGAACGCCTCTGCTGCAGCTTCCAGGTAGATGACTTTAAGATCTGCATTCTGCCGAGCGTAGCTTTGAGTTTGTTGCTGATTTCTGCTATATTTCGTGGCAAATCCGCTCCTATTCTCATCAGTTCGGTTCGGCTATAGTTCACACGCATAAATCGCGCAGAGTCAGGCACAGAGTCAATATCAAAACTTCTAAAAACTGGGATGGTACCGGGAGCCTGTGAAGCTGCAACTGCTCTGAGCGAGGCCATCTTGTAAAAGTCAATTCAAATTCAACCTAAGCAATAAAATATTTTAAAAAGAGGAATTAAATGGGTTGTTTATTTAATGTTTTTTTGTGTATTTGTATCGCTCATAAAATGAGTACGGTAGTTACTGCAGAACCTGACACATTTTGTTTTCGATTACCCGATTAATCATCAGAATAATCTATAGATTTCCCGATTACTAAAATATATTTGTTTACAACAGCCCTACTATGTACAGATTTCATGAGTATTAAAAAATAATGGATGAAGCTGAACAGAGAATTGCTGAGAGTGAAGATTATACGATGAAAACCTCTAAAGTGCTTTTACATGCCCTTCAAATGCAAAACCAACTAGAACTAAGATGTGAGGAACTGGAAAATCAAGCCAGGTGAAACAATATGAGAATCTACTCAGTGCCATAAAACTGAAGAAAACAACATGATTGACTTTATCAACAAACTTATCCCTGAAAAACTGGAAGTGACGGACAAACTCCATGTGGAATGGGCACATCGGATAGAGCCGAGGCCTGGACCAAAGGACCGGCCCAGAACTGTTCCGGTTCAATTTCAATCATATGCCATGACACAAAAAGTGCTGCAAGCTGCGTGGAGAGCAAAGACTGTACAAGTAAATGATGGAAGGATTTATTTTGACGAGGACTTTACAAACTCAGTGTTTAAGGAACGTGCAAAATACAAAGATGTGCGCAAAGTACTTAATGAACGAAAAATCAAGTCACGGATTTTATTTCCAGCTAGACTGAAAGGTTTTTGTTTTTTTTGTGAGAATGGGAAAGTTAAGGTGTATAATAAGAATTGAACGACGACATCATGTTAAAACTTGCCATTAACATAATAAAACTCGAGTAGAACTCGAGTACTTGATGACATCATAGGATCTAACGATACAAAAATAAATAAAACTGCAAAAAAGGTCATTATTTACAACAAAAAAAAACATTGGGAGTGTACATTATGCTCCTACCATTTATCATAAAGCAAATAAGTTACAGGAAAAACTAAACTATCAATTATTATTAAGCTGCAAAAGTGAAGAAACGTGCGGCACTTCAAAAACGAAACTAAAAACAGTGGGGGGTTGACCGCCTTGCACCACCGCCAGCTGTGGAGCGCATTATGTTTAGTTTTAGAGATCAATATGTTTATAGGTTTTTTTATAGGTTTAGAGATTAATATTTTTTGCTTTTTGTTTGTGAAACAAGGTCAGAGGAAGCGGGTTCTGGTTCGGTCGATTGGACCCGGTGTTGCACCATATTCTGTGACCTGCAGATAATCTTCTGTGCATGCAACACCACCCCCTACGGTCACAATATACAGTGGCCACAAAATATGGTGTAACACCGGTTCGCAACGTGCTCCAAACAGTCAGGAAGTTGTTTCATTTTCTGTTTCCTTACGGTAGTTGAACCAGAAGATTCATCTTTAGTGAAATATTTCCAGACTATTGATGCATTTCTACGCGTTTGTCAAGATTGGGCCTGCTCTGCTCCATCCGTCTGCTTGGAGGAATCCATTTTGTAACCCGCGCCCGGTGCAGATCACATGACGCGATGGCAGCGCAATGCCGTCACCACGAATACTCGACGTGAAATAAAAAAAGCTCGATAGGTGTCCTAGGAATCGATGTGTAGATTACTCGAGTAGTCTGTTAAAGCCCTAGTGTATAATGACACTCAAGCTGCTGCAATTGGATTACGCGAGCTCGGAGTCAACATGGACATTCCAGAGAAGGAAATTGATCTAGAATCAATACTGAAGAACGCAAGGAGTCGGCCTGGTCTAGGGCTGGGCCATATTATATCGTTCACGATAATACCGGTAAAAAAAGCTTGCCCAGGAAAATAAATGAAATCATGATAAGCTAATTTCATGACGTAATACGTCAGGGCGCCCCTCTCTTTTAACAGAACCGAGCGTGCCGAACGACCGAACCGAACTGCGTACCCTCCCATCCACCTGTCGGTACTGGCGTAACGCTAATTAGTTGTGCACAATACTAGCTAGCTAAAATGCTAAACACAAACAACGCGCGGCTCTGCTGCGTTTCTCCAGCCAGCTCTAAACTGCAGGTACAGACAGCTCGATACGTCTCTCCTTCACCGCACCCCGCTCTAAACTGCTAGTACAAAACTAACAATTGTAAATATAATACAGATGAACAAAGGAATTTTTCTGTGGACTTTGATAATTTTTCACTTACTCATTTTAACTGCCATTTAACTTTATCGCTAATATCGGCCGATACCATGCCGATAATATCGTGCACCCCTAATGTAAATACACAATAATACCATGTGTAGACCAAAACAATTTACTAACGGTCCAGAAAATGTATTGCACACTGAAACTTGTCTAAATACACAATAATGCACCAAAACAATTTAATGACTTGCTTTTTTCTTATGTGCAACATGTTGTAGTGTATGATAAACAGACGGCTCCTCTAAACGTCGCGGGCCTCTTGCTGATTGCGCATGCGCGTGTGTTAACTAAATGTATGCAGCTCTGACATGTAAATGGACTGTACTTGTATATATATATCTTATTTCAAGATATTCAAAGCGCTTTACACTACAATCTGTGTCCTCATTTACCCATTCATACAGCTCTCTACTAGAACTCTACAAAGCTAATTGAACAAATCATTCTAAAGAGACATGTATGCAGAACGGACACCGATGATAACATGCGGCCTTCGAAGCATACAGGCCCTGAATTTAAACACAACCTAAAATATCTTCTCAGCCAAGTGTGTAAAACTGTTGTTTTATTCTTGATGACAATAGTTTGAATAATACATCTCCAAACTGAGAATTGCTGAGATAAAAAGAGCCCCCGATTCTTGAATATTTTAGTTTCTACATCTTCCACCTTAGCGCTAGCTTCTGTTAGCATGCTAAGCTACAAACACGGACAACACATTTACAAGTTCTTGTTAAGAAGTTAAATCCATCAACTA